ACTGTAAGCTGTTCAGCGCGGAAAGTTTTTGCTGCCGCGGCACCAATTGCTCAAAGAGCTTTTTAGCATCTGCAGTAGTTTTGTTAGGGGCGATCACCACAGGAATCGTCCGCATCGGGTACAGGAGCGCCTCCTCTTTGAGCATGAATCCTTGTACGGTACATATCCACTGAAACTTCTTGAAAAGCCAAGAAGCAAGATCGGAGGGCTTTTCGTTTTTCAAGCTCGGTCTTGTGTAGTGGCTGGAGGGCAGATCACATAGACGCCCCAAGATCGAGTGATCGCGTCCTTCGCTTCCGTAGCGGGACCCGCCGAGCCAAAGCCGTATTCAACACGAGCGTCAAGGACCGACTATGGATGCGCACGCATGGGAGCCGCTCTGCGGACAGCATTCAGCTGCTGCTGCGGTGCCTCGTTGAGGTCATTGGTAATGACACCACATCCCCCCGAAGTCGAGAGTTTGAGAATCGGAAACGGCATCGGCAAGGTTCGCGCAGGGCTCACGCCACACCGCTGGGGCACCTCGCCCTCTTCTTCTTCTCGTCCTGGGAATGGAGTATCCGACTCGTGGTCGACTTCCTCCAAATCCTGGACGAGGTAATATATTGCCGTGGTGGGAGCGATGTTTGGTCGGGAGTAGCCATCGCGCGTGTGTTCTTGGTCGTGCGACCCTGTCGCTAACAAGGCGCTGCGCGGTACTCGCTTACCGAGAGCTTCGGCTCCGCTTTTCTTAAACCCGCAGACGTGTTGTCCGAAGTTACACCGCGTCAGGAGACAAAGAAGGGCTTTGCCCGCGGGCGCTATCGGAACCAGCGAGACCGCATGTCTTCCGTGTCCTCGACACAGGGCTCATTGAGCAGACAGTTCGGGAAGAAGTCCTGCTGATGTTGTGGTGTATTTGACGCGCGAGCCTTTGTTAGAGGCGACAGTTGAATGTGAGCTGTTGGTGCTCGCAATCTTGCAGGCGGAGAGTGTAATGGGGTTTCACGTGCCCTGTTACGAAGGGTGTGAGTCACGCAAGATGGTGTGGCGACACAATGGTGTGGCCACACTAAAACAAGAGGTCAGCACGTGGCTGGACTACCAGTAGTTATACATTTAATTAGGTTTTCTATATAGAGAGGAAAATCTATAGGTTGGATATAGGCAGCTTTGCTGTAAACAAAACCGAGATATACAGTTTACATTTTAAACACAAGAGTTAATTGGCCTTGCGTTGAAGTTGTAATTACTCATGGAGTAAGTGGATTGCATTCCGCTACCCTCGCACTTGCTCTAAGGTTAGAACAAAGGTATCCGACCTCAACCAACCTTTCTCTAAGCAAAAGAGCTCCGTCAGCCCCGCTGCAGATTACACCTAGTTACTTTGACGACACATTAGTTTGAAGTAAGAAAACGGCTGAGAAGTCTGACGCGATGCTCATCTTGACTTTCTGTCGAGACCTCCACGTTATGCGAGAGATAAACTTTACGCTGACCTGAAAAGTGCATTTTCTTTGCAGCTGAAATTCCCGTTCTCGGTCCTTTGAGGACAAGAATGGCGGTTGTTTAAATCCAGAAAGCTTCAAAGATAACAATGATTGGCCTGAGCCCAGAAAAGTGAAAACTGCTGAGGCAATGGCTGGACTTAGTCAACTATTTACACGAATACAGGTGTAATTATACAGCATTGGTGTAACCCCCAACAACACTTCGAAATAAAAAAATACCAGTAGAAATTTGCCGATGTGGAGGCGAGCATGCAAGATTTTTTCTGCCCTAGGGATTGCAAACAACAGTTGGCCTTTCAAAGTGATCGGCACCGCAAGTGATTATGCCATCGGTTTTTGTTGGCGCAACACGATAATGAGGGTCAAGAGCGAGCTAATCGCGACAACTACGGCCCACGGAACGGATTCGTCCGTTCAATGCGCTTATAGCGGTAAAGTATGCTTTAGTCAATTTTCGAGTGTACTTGTTTAAAAGAAGTGCTATACGATCCATACGGATCATGTCTCGCTGAATACAGCAGTAAAGGATCGCACATTAGAAGCCAGGTAAGACGAACATCTTGGCCGATGCGCGATCAAGATGATCCAAAGTCCAGGAGTAGAGAATATTTAAGAATTATATCGGCAGTGCGACGATGTTAAGACGATCAGAGTGCAAGCTACGACTACAGTAGGCACAGAATTTGTCGAAGAGTACAAGTCTGATGAGACATATCAGGACTTTTTCAGGTACGCTAAGGACCCTTCAGACAAAGTAGTGCAAGGTCTTTCATCTGGCGCAAGATCGTGTGCACTGTTACATAACTCCAGCGGATTGTTGTACTAAGCGGTTAGACACGGGGATACAGCAAGAGTTGTTCTCCCTAATGATAAAGTTTGCGCCTTCGTCTCTTTTGTGAGTGGCCACCTCGGACGTGAGAAAACGTGTCTTGGTTATTTTGGGATTACTATTGACCGCACATGTACCAATGAGAGCGCAAGTAATTGAAGACTATTGAGATTTGCAAGAGAGCAAAACCATTGGGTTTCAACAGGCCTCACTTCGGTCGTTAGCATTCCCAGATGACAGCTGGAATACTGTGAGTATGGATTTCATATTTGGACATCCGCGTGACGCACATAGATGCATTGTCATCCTGGTTAATAGATAGATTCAGAAAGATGGTTCATCTTGCGCCTGTTTTGGACAACATATCTGTTGAAAAAACAGCTCCGGTCTTTGTAAACGTTGTTTTCCGTCTGCATTCCCTTTCTTTCATGATCGCGGCTGGCCGTGTCACCCGTTTTACGGCGAGGTTTTGGCGTTGCACTTTTTGGCTAATGGACACCAAACCGTACATGTCAATAGCGGCACATTTTTAAACGGACGGTCAAACAGACAGTGTGAATCGAGTGCTGGGTGACGTACCGTGTAGTCACACTACGTCGTGTGAAGAGGCGACTGAATTCCCCCCCCCCGCATAGTTTTTTGTTGGGTAACTTCACGCATGTCTCAACAGGAATCTCACCACTTTATGTTAACTATGGTATTCATTGTAGAGTACCTGCTTCTATAATGGGCAAGATCTCTGTTTTAAAAGGGAATCTTATGGCCACGGAGCTACATTCAGACTTAAATGCTGTCACAAAGTAAATAGCAAATTTTGACTGACTCAATGAGACCTCTAGACGATATGACCAGTTGTGAGATACGGCACGTTTATTAGAATATTATGAAGAGACAAGCCGTTGTGCGGTTTGTTCGAGACGCAATTGCTAAGTTCAGGACTTGCAAAAAGAAC